GATTAAAATATTTGAATAGAGAATTAAGAAGGGAAATGACGCAGTTCTTGGTTCCTACTTGACGTAAATTCCTTTCAAGGCCCGCAGAAAGAAATAACCTCAGTGTTCTTACGTTTGTTAAAAAGATATAAATTTGAAGTCGTACTGACAGGCAATTTAAATTCTCATCACTTTCTGTCAGAAGTTCGTCTTTCATCTCACGATTATCAGGGTAACTTTTACTATTCTATAGGTTACCATGGTCGCCCACGTCGCCATATTGACTTCTCGAAGTATCACTGCAGGCACTCTGCTTTTATATAATAAGCCAGTCCGTACCGCAAAGAAAACACCACACTTCACCATGATGAGGATCAGTTTGTTAAATCTGTTTAAGGAAACTATCGTCGTTTATATCGAGAAGTACGTGGGGTAGATATGTACTACTAGGCTTTAAAGTGTTGATGTGAGAGATCAGAATTTTCATCCATACAATGAAACGGGTAAATTTGTGAATTTATATGTTTTAATATGTAGGCTTTTTGATAGCAGACGGCAAAAGAAAAGATTCAGAACTGCGTGGCAGCAAGCGCTCACGAATTTACATTGATTTTAATTTATTCGTGGATTTAAATTTAAATTTAATTTCGTGGTAATCGGGAAAACAATAGTACCGATTACCACCACCAGATAACTTTCACCGTTCAGAACTGCGTGTGAATAAGACAAGAACCAGCTCGTGTTGGGAATTGGGCCAAGCGGAAAATTGAAGAGCAGGAAGGGACTGCGGTGTATGTGCCCGAGTGGATGAAACAGAGCCGTGTTCTTTATCCTCCTACACGAACAATTCACGTCACCTGTCATGGCAATCCTCCTCTGACGGCTTCTACTCTACACGAACATTTGTAAAACAGAATTCCTTGAGCGCTTTCTCATAGAAATACAAGCGTCATGGACCTATCAGTTATTCTTTTCTCCATTCCTTGCTTTTCCCCATTTTTTTATGTTATACACAGACTCGGTTTTTATCAGAAATATTTAAAATTGCTGTCTCCATGACAGAATATACCAAAGAAGAAAAATTACCTGCAGAATCTAATGAAATGACGGGAAAATGACAATTCTGTATGATACTAAAATTGTTTACTCAAGAGGAAAATTTACAAGATTAAAAGAAGAACAGATAGGTATTGCTATAGCAGTGCCACCAAATTTCATGTTTAAAGGTCACAGCAGAATCGAACAATATTATAACACGGACACCGGATCCCAGGTGAATGAAGACTGCTCGGAACTCGCATCGTAGCAAAGCTAGCAACACGTTACTGGTGACTTACAGTAGCTTGCTGAGGGGAGTGAAGTCTTTCGTCGTCTTGAAGCATGCGATTTGATGACTGCTGCTGTAATAATGTGCGTTCGGTGCATCTGGGAACTGACTGTAACGTGTTCAGGGTGAGAGATATATTTTATCATCGCGTTAGAATTATAGGAAAATCGGAATTAATGAATTTGAATCTAAAAAGGAATCAACCAAGGAAAGTAGAGATGCAGGACCAACCGAAAATTAGTTATTCTGTTGGAATCTACATACTTCTGAGAAATAGCGGTACATACTTTTGGAGAAATAGCGGTAAAATAAAATAAGTGTGTTTTGTAAGAAAATTAAATTGGCTTTACTTTTTGAAAGCACATTTCCCTGGACCCTGTCAAATTCTTCAACTATATAAAGAAACTGCTATTATATGCTGCTTTGATAGACCCTTTGAAATGTCTATAGCGCTAACACTGTAGGCACAAACTAATGATCTTAAAACCATAACAACCTTGAATTACGTAAACCACTCAAGTTGTTCTCATACTAATTGGAGCTTATCGATTTTGGCTGAAAATCAGGAATGTCGTGAAGTGGCTCTTCTAATTCATATGTGAGCTGTCATTTTTGAAATGAATTAGAAAAATATGATCATGACTTAGAGGCACAGTAAACATCTTGCTTCTCTGCAGAAATCTGTCCTGTCATGATTTACAACCATACGAAGGAAACACGAGAACTCTCATCAGTTTGAGGAACTCGCCAGACGACTTGAAAACCTAGGTTATTTTCCTCCCTACTAAAAATACGAAGTTCGTCTTTTGTCAGGAATTGATGATGAATGTGCTCAAAATCTGGCCGTATGACAGGGCGTGCTGTAGTACTGTACCAGATGATTATGCAGTCGGCGGTCCAGACGCCTACTTAAATGCTTTGAGACCGCCTTGGCATTTATTT